CACGAATTCTGTGCAGCTGAATGGACCCTGACCCTGAGGGGTTTTAAAAGAAATGCTGCTTAAAAAAGAAACCCACAGTGACAATTGTGAATTGGATACCCCAGTGATAAGTACAGAATCATTACGTTTATTTATCATACCACTTATGGGGCCTAGCAGGGCAGGCCCTACACTAAATGGCGTCACAAGCAAAGAGTGTTTCATGCCTCCCTCCACTTGTTCAGCTTTTTAACACCTTATTTTTAGCCCATTTCATGACTCTGATGCGTGATTTATCCCTGTTATATAAGAGATGATGTATTTGCCCGCTAAGATCTGTATTTGTTCATGCCATAGATAAGCAAATAAAAAAGGTGTTTCCTCTAAGCTTATAGAAACCTTTTAATTTTAAGAATAAGTGAAATGTACTAACCTCAGGAAACTGTCACCAAACGATGTATTAAGCATGGCAAAAGAAGTAACGGTATTGCTTTTATATTATCGTGTTGATAGGCGTTTGATTACTATCTCTGGCATCTAATTATGTCCTCTATGAATTGCTACTTACACTTTTCAAGTCATAAAACACAAGTACACATTCACAATGACACAATAAAACAAGGTTCAAAATATCACAGCTGGGGGCCTTTGTGCTAGGGGCTGCACAAACACACACCAAAGAGATGACTCGAACCCCAAACAGCTTCTGATCTAAACTCCCAATCCTTGCTGAGACATCCGGCCTGGGAACCTGAGGGAAAGATTTTTCATCTTCCTTTAAAAACCTGCTCAGGGGTGCAGACTGAAAAAGGGAAGGAAGGGCTGCTTCGATATAATGTGTCTTGAAATAGGGGGAAATCTGACTCCACCCTAGAACCTGCAGCTAATGGAATTACATTTTAGGCCTCGTTAAACTGGGATGTGAAGGATTCGGCCACCCTGCAAGCCATCTGTTGCTTGGGAGGACTTTGGAGTTACTGTATGTGGATCTAAATCACATAAAGGATAATGTGTCAAAGTCTTGAGTGATCTCCTTGCAGCTGTGGGTAACCTTTCCCTCTCAGTTTCTCCTTGGAACAAGAGTAGCTAACGAGAATTCAGAACCTAAGTCTCTCATAGGAATGGCTTGTGGGACAGCTATCAAGTTTGAATTTCCCAGAAATTCTGCAACCAGCTTTTTAACCAAGATTTGGTCTGCTCCAGCAAAGATCCTGTGATTTTTTTTTCCGAAGAGGAAGGGTTTGCTCTTAGCTCAGCCAGCCAACAGTAGTGATATATGTGGGTTTGACTGCTAGGCTCCACCCCAGAGAAGGATGCACTGTGGCAAAGAACAGCATAACAAGAACCAGTGATTGGGAGACAGACAAATTCCAATGAGAAATAACAAGGCCCTGACTTTTAACAATGAGGGTAATTAGACTCTGGAACTAACTTCCCAAGAGAGCTGGTGGATTCTCTATATTTTGATAGCTTCAGATCAAGAATAGACAAGATGCTTTAGTCAAACACAAGTTACTTGGTTCAGTACAGAGGTATCTGAGTGAAACTCTCTTGGAAGTCAATTCCACTTATGGAATTACAGCAAGGTAGGACTGGATAAAGCCTCAAAAGACCATCTAATCTGATCACACTGCCCTGCACTGAGAGAGGATTAAATATGAACAGACCTGTGGCCTCTTCTGGTGTTAAAATCTATTAATCTACTCACCCTAACAGTGGCTGACCTTCAGTACAGTTCAGATCTGGTGTACAAAGGGAACATGGGGAGTGTCTTTCTCCTTCTCAGTCAGGGGCCACATCAGTGAGGGTTTGGTTTTTCTATTTTGCTTCTCACTTGTGTGTGCTCCCCGACTGATTTTTCTGTGGGGTCAGCATCCCCCGGACTCAAAAACGGTTCCCCACCCCTGCAGAGTAATCACTTTTTGTGACGTTCCTGCTCCAAAGAGCTTACAATCTAATTTAAAGTGCATTCTTTTAGAGACCGTTTTCATCCTTTCAAACATCCCACCCCAATATCAGCGCTGAAATCCAGCTGTCTGAGTTCTAGGTGATCCCTATATTGTATAATCTGAAATGGTTAAAATCTCAGACCCTGCCTTTGGAATTGTTCTGGCCTGATTCTACCATTAAAACTGACTCTTACTTTTATTACCATGAATTCTTTCCTACTTTGTTACTGGAGGATGGCTCACTAAGAAACGTCCCCACTGAAGGGAAACAAGAAGACCTTTTATAAATACATTAAAAGCAAGAGGAAGACCAAGGACAGGGTAGGCCCACTGCTTAGTCAGGAGGGAGAAGCAGTAACAGGGAACTTGGAAATGGCGGAGATGCTCAATGACTTCTTTGTTTCGGTCTTCACCGAGAAGTCTGGAGGTGTGCCTAACGTAGTGAATACAAGCAGAGAGAGGGTAAGTTTAGAAGATAGGATACACAAAGAACAAGTCAAAAATCACTTAGGAAAGTTAGATGTCAGCAAGTCACCAGGTCCTGATGAAATGCGTCCCAGGATACTTCTTCTAGGGTTTGAGAAGAAGGTGTAGTAAACAGCTGAACTGTTATAAATATTCAGACGTGAACTTTGCAACAAGAGAACAAAGGTCAGTCAAGGATCTCACTAAGCTTTATTGAGCAATTTAACTGGCTCGCCTTCTTGAATCAAGAGCAAGACTGCAGACGTGAACTCAGTTTATGCCAACAGTCAGGATTAATCCAGATTAAATCAGCTTTTGGAAATACCATCAACAAATGCACAGAGTGATTTAGACACTGGAGAAAAAAAATGGATCCCCACACATATCTAGACACAAATACGTACCTATCCATCTATATAAACCCATGTACTTGTCTCAGTCCCCTATACACACACACACACACCCTAGCACTTATCTAGTGTTCTTGGTCTGCTTCTAGGGCTACGTCTACACTATAAGCTTTTTGCGCAAAAACCTGCAGAGCATCCACAGCTCAAATGAGTTCTTGGGCAATTAAATGGGCAGTTAAACGGCAGAACAGAGGACTTTTTCCGCCATAAGTAAACCTCCTTTTCTGAAGCATAACTGCTTTTAGCACTACAGCTATTGCACAAAAAGGCAAGTGTGGATGCTCCAGAGGGGTTTCTTGCGAAAGAAACCGCTATAGGAAAAAGCACAGGTGCTCTGATGGTCATTCTGTGAATGGCCATCAGAGCTTTCTTGCGCAAGAGCGCCCATGCAGTGTGGACACTCTCTTGCGCAAAAGCACAGCGCAAAAGTGATGTGCTTTTGCAATGTGATTTGAGGTGTGGACGTGCTCTTGCGCAATAAATTTTTGTGCAAAAACTCTTACGCAAAAGGCTTCTTGCACAAGACGCACGTAGTGTAGACACAGCCTAAGAGTTCTGCAAAGGAGTTAATTCCAGTTTTACTAGTAAGGAAGATGAGGCATGCCAAGGGAAAGTGACTTGCCCATGATCACCCAAAAGGCCAGAGATCTAAGACCCTAGGTATTGGCCCATGGCTTTTACCATTACTCCACATTGCCCTCAGGAGACACTCCCCCAAAGAGACACTACTGGACAAACCCACCTCCTATCAATTCAATGATTTCTTGTTGGTATGACAAACTAAACAAGTGTTGCTTGCACATTTACCCGCAAAGATTTCTCTCTTTCTCTCTCCCTCTCACACACACACAGGTCTGCACACAGACCCACAAATATCTTAAACCCCTGCACACTGATGCACCACAGTCTCGTACACATGCACCTCTGTACACTTACCCCAAAAGATCTTTCTCTCACGCACACACACTCCTGCACACTGACCCACAACTCAAACTCCTGCTCACTGATGCACAAAGGTCTCCCACAAATGCACACCTACACACACACACACTGCCCTAAGCACAAACCCCTCCCTGCCTCCCTCCCACCCAGCCACACACACAAATACCCTG